ACATCAAGGCGCACACCACAAGTCGGAGGAGAAGCTCGGCCAAACGCTAACATATGTGTAAGCGCCAATCTATTATTATTATTATTATAATTATTATTATTATATCCTAATCTAGGCAAAAGGCTACCAACGCACCAAATGAATTTTTTAACGTAGCTCGACCCCTGCGCCACCTATCGGAAAAATTAACTTTGTGCACTGCTTCTTCTAAACACCTTTCCAAAAAAGCAGCACCCATTCGAATCGGTTATAAAACATAGGTGAAAATTGATCCCAATTGATTCATGCTCCCAATGAATTTCACAATCATCCCAAATTTTCCAAGCTTTCGTCGGAAAAAAATTTAAATTTTTCGCGTTCTTCCGGATTTTTCCGAGTTTTCCACTTAGAATTTTCTATTTTTCCATTCCGAAGGAATTGCACACAAAATTCCATACAAAATATCAATTTTCGATTTTTCCCATTTTCCGACTTTCCCGGAGGGTTTTCCCAAAATTTTCTTTCGTAAAAACCTTCTCCTGGCAATTGCGAACAACCAAAAAAATTTTAGTCAAATCGGCCCAACTGTTCTCAGTTGATGAATTACTATACATTTTTCACCCCATTTTTATATATATACTAGCAGACCCGGCGAACTTCGTCCCGCCCAAAATTAATTTTTTTATTGAAACATTTGGACCAACGTTCGCCAGCAATTCACGTTCACGTTTGGTTTTGTGGTCGGCAGAAGGCATATCCTCCAGTGCCGTCTTAATAACCTGACGAAAGCGTTATACCGGGAAGAAGTCTTTGCGGATCGATGGTGAATCGTCCTTGAATCTGTATAGCATAGTTGGTGGCAGTTTCCAAACTGGTGAGTATCATTGGTCCACGTTTTGTTTAGTCACCGTAAAGCGCGGACCGCAATGGTTCTGATGGTTGATTTAACGGGAGTAATTTGACTTTGATCCCTGGTGCCTCCGAATTGACGATTTTTAGCAATAACTCGGCTTCAGCGCCACCTTGCGCATCTTTTTTGCAATAGTATTGCCCCTATCGTTACCAGTACATATATATCTCGAATATGAGTCATATAGGATCACAAATACGATTTTGAGTAATAACTCGACTCCAGCGCCACCTGGCGTTTTAAGTTGTGAACTTAAACTATACAGGGACCTACTCAAACACATCCAAAAATTCATTAAACCCGTTTCGATAGTTTATGAGGAGTTCACCCACCAGAATAAGTATTTTACATACTAACATTCTTCCACATTTTTCCCATACAAAAAAAGAACTATCACGCATTTTTTATACGGAGCAAATGCGCAACATCTTCAGCGAAAAAGTTCTCAAAAATCAATGCTAACTTATAGCTATTTAAAACTTTCACTTTATGATACTGAAATTGAGTCAACTAGTTACAAAAGTGCATACTCAAAATTTGGTGCCATTTGATGCAAAATGAACTATATTTGAAAGAAAAAAATATATGAAAAAGAAAAAAAAACACTGTATTCTGGGTGTATGTATTTAGAGATAGGTAAAAGTTTCAATATTTTTTGAAATCGCCACGCCCCCTTTTCCAGTAGCCCCGAAATCTATATACCGATTTCCAGGACACTACCACAAATACTTCCAGAGATATACGGTATGAAAAATTCGATAAGTATGGGTGATGCCACGCTCCCTTAATATATCGAAAGTCTGCAGTAGGTGTTCAAAATTTCATAAATATCGGTACAGCCGTTCTACCACCTTTTGTTTCCTTGCTAGAGGTTCTCAAATATTGCAAATAACGCGATTTTTTGACACTTTGACCTCGTTTTTCTTAAATCTGGAGCTGATGGAAACTCTATGCTTACGGATTCGTAATCAGCACAAAAAATCTGTCAAAATATCGTTAACATTTGCTGCATTATATTTTTTCCATTTTTGTTGGTAATAGGTATGACTCAATTATATTCTACGCATATCTATAATGCGGGCATCGAATTTCAAACAAATCGGACCATAAATAAGATTTTTTGGAAGAGATCGGATCCTATATGCTAAATGCAGTTTTTCAGCGTAGCTCGATCCCTGCGCCGCATATCGCAAAATTTAAAACTTTGTGCACTCCTCCTTCTAAACACCTTTCCAAAAACGCAGCAGCCATTCGAATCGGTTATGAAACATAGGAGAAAATTGTTCCCAATTGATTCATGCTCACAATAAATTTCACAATTATCCGAAATTTTCCAAGCTTCACAACGAATTTTCCACCTTTACATCGTCTAAAATCTTCAAATCATGGGATAAAGTGCAAAATTTCGTTGAAGAAAATTGAAATTTTTCGCGTTCTTCCGGATTTTTCCGAGTTTTCCACTTAGAATTTTCTATTTTTCCATTCGAGAGCCATTCCGAAGGAATTGCACACAAAATTCAATTGTTCCAATTTCACAACTTTCCTGGATGAATTCCCTTCCACATGGTCCTATTAGGCTTAATTATTACATTATTTAATACTACGTTAAGCTTTTAATTAAATATTGTTATGAGTTAGGTTCAATAGAGCCGTAAGAAATAAATAAATATGTACTTATGTAAGTCAAACTTCGCAAGAAGGAAAACACCATAGTTACGGAATCTTAAATGACTCACAATAGGAGTAATCTCTCCGAAATAGGGCTCTGAATGTCTGGTGGGAAACAGAAAAATACTATAAATTACACTATTGCTCTGAATTAAAGGTGAAGAGGTAGATATGCAACACACTGACTTCTTTATTCAAGTCATTTATTTCCAGCGCCAAAAAACAACAAACATGCATATTCGCTTCTAAAGTCCAAAACGAACATTGCTTATCAGGCAACATAAATATTTGTATTTTATGATTTCAAGTAGGATATTTGCAATCCTTTGCAAAAAAGGGAAAATAGCATTGAATTATTAGTGATTTTATCTTTGAAGCACGCAAAACCACCACACCATACATTTACACACTAATGTAGTTTTACATTGTAGGTGTATGCATTTCCGTCCGTGAGCAAAACCGAATCTTTATGGAAATGTGTTGAAACTAAATAGCAAAGTTATAGGTATGCCGTGGGCGGAGTTTTCATTTACGTAAATGCCCAGCAAAATTATTTCTGATACGAAATATGTACATAGTTAGTACGTATTCATGGGCACCAACTGATGCCCGACATGGGTACAATTTTACATAAATATGTATATTGCGCAATATTTATATTGCTATTATAAACTAAAGTTGTAAACTAAAGTTGTGGTAATTGTACGCATCTAAAATCGTTGTTTGGGCAGGTGAAAGTCTGAGAGATTGAGCATATTTGCATACATTTCCAAATACATAAGAGGATTGTAAACTGGTTGGCAATGTATGGTAACACTGCAGGAAAAGCTAATAGTTGTGAACTAGATTGCTACTTGTTTGCGTTTCAGCCCAACTAGTTCATGTTGTATCCTTTTTCTATATTAGCGACTGGTATTTTTAACATGGCGGTGTCATAGGAGATGCCAATTTCCCACCCCTGCATCAGCACCCTACCAGTAGAAATACTAGTAGCATCATACCTGTTGACGGGATAGACTGCGATTGCACCCCCCGTGAAAAGCAAAGTATGCCATTGTGCCCGCGGCGCTGCAACAATGGCAATGGCCGACAGAGTAAAGCTCTGGTTCGCCATGCAAGAGATCCGCGTTCGAATCTCAGTATGCGAATTTAATTTTTTTTTTTATACCCGAGCGCACTTGTGCACAAGGGTATATTAACTTTGTTCACAGCCAAAACGAATCGAGATAGATATATACAAATATATACATAAATGCTCAGAATGAATAGATAAGTCGATTAAGCCATGTCTGTCTGTCCGTCCGTGTACACGATAACTCGAGCAAAAATTGAGATATCTCTACGAAATTTATGTATGTAGGTTTCCATTTATCCAAGGTAAGTTGGGATTGAAAATGGGTGAAATCGGACTGTAACCACGCTCACTTCCCATATAACGGTATTTTCGAAAAATGCAAGAACTGCGATATTTCGGTTAGCATTGGATACAAATTGTTGAAAATTAGTATGTGCAGTAGAATTGTGGTAAAAATTAACATTATGAAATTAAAAAAAAATGGGCGTGACCCGCCCACTTATGATGAAATGCTGTATTTTAGAAGGCGCTTCACCAATCCTTACCAAACTCAGTACGGGTCTTGCCTAGGGTCTAGCTAAGAAATCTGTTGAAAATCTTTGAAATCAGCCAATAACCACGCCCACCTGATATATAACGGTAATTTACAGAAACACGAAAACTGCCATACATCAGCAACTACTGAGGCTAATTCACTTAAAATCGAGGATTGCAACCAACACTTAGCAGAAAAATAAATTATAAAATATTTTTGGATAATGGGCGTGGCGCCGCCCACTTATGTCCACAAATGTGTATCTCGGTAACCGATTTATCA